AGTATCAGTTAATAGCTGCAAATCTAGTGGAACACCGTATCTAAGAACTACAGCAGATGCAGTCTACAAAGCCATTTTCTGAATCAGTGCCCCAAGTAACCCCAGAAACAGGCCTAAAAACCAAGACACACAAATTGTCTTGTTGTTGGGCTATGTTACCATTGTTAATGCCACATGGATATTGGCTGAAAGCAGAGGATATGAGAAAGAGTTTCTCTATGTTTTGTTGATTATATAAGGACATTCAATTGTGGGTGTCATAACGATTTATGGGTAACACCACAAAGAATGGGAATTCTAGGACATTTAATTGTACTCATATGGAACCTGTACCTAAACCCAAGATACATTCATTTGAACCCAAGGGAATATTACATGGTTTAAACTCAGGAAAGGTACATGGCCTGTTGTATCATTTCACCATATTTAATCAAAGAAATGCCAAGATATGAAGATGACCATGGCAGACTACAGCCTCAGGATGGATTACAGAAGAGGGGGAAAAAAATAAGCTCACAGCAGCATCAATAAGAATTTTCGTTTAAACTGAGAAAATAGTGACGTTGTCAAAGATTTCATTTTCCTTGGATTCACAATCAATTCTCATGGAAAAAGCAGTAGAGAAACCAAACGACATATTGTAGTAGGCAAAATTGCTGCAAAAGATTTCTTTAAAGTCCTAAAAAACAAACATCTCACTCTGTGGACTAGGGTGTACCTTACTCAAGCCATGATATTTTCAACTGAACTAGAGCCATACGTATCACTTTGAGTACATTTCTCACGTACATGCAAAAGCTGGATAATGAATATGAAGACCAAAGACGACTTGATGCATGTAAAAAGTTACGGTGTTGACAAAGGATACTTAATCTACAATGAGTTGCCAGATAACAAATATAAACATGTCTGGGAAGATCTTTAGTCTTAGAAGATGTGCAGCCAGAAGTGCTCATAGAAGGGTAAAATGGCAAGACTGCATCTTACTTTGGACAAGGTATCAGGAAGGACCTGTCCTAAGAGAAGGACACCATGTTTGGTAAGGTAGAAGATCAGGGAAAATGAGGAAGACCCTCATGAGAGATTGGTTGACACAAGGGCTGCAATAGGACCAAACATCAAAGATTATGAGGCTGGCGCAGGATTGTGCAGTGTTTCATTCTGTTGTACTATGAGTCAGCACCTAACAACAACAAAGAAATCCTGAACCCCCTGACTATTGTTTCAACTTGGACTCAAAATGACCCTACAAAACCAAACTGATTGCCACTGATTTGGTTCTGACTCAGGGAACCTAAATAGGATTTCCAAGACTATAGACTCTTACAGGAGCAGATGGCCTCATCTTCCATTCATGGAGGGGTTGGTGGGCCTGAACCACTGACTCTGCAGTTAGCAGCCCAATGCCTAACCTACATTAACACTGGTGTTTCCTATAATGATTCTAGAGGACAGAGTCCAACTTCCACAGAGGATTTCCAAGAATGTAATCTTTATGGAAGCCAACTGCCACATCTTTTGTCCTCAGAGCAGCTGGTGGGTTCAAACCATCTACCTTTCAGTCAGCTGCAGATCGCTTTAATACACTAGGGCTGCTGAAAGTAATCCTTATTATGTGCAAAAGTAAAAAATTTACACATATGCACAATGGGAGGATACACACAAAGTTATTCACATCTAATGCCTATTACTGGGGGAAATGGGAAAAATTATGTGATATGTAAGTACATGATTGGACAGCTTCAGGAGTTAAAATAATTGAACTAGCTCTACACATATCATTATGGGTGTATACTCAAAACGCAGCAATGGGAATTAGGAGAAAGATGTAAGAAGGTACAATATCACCTACATAAATTTTAAAATTCAAGATATGGGTTTATCTGTGTAGATTGGAGAAGGAATGAAATTGAAAGAGTGTTCAAAGAGCTTCTGCTTTATTATGAATGTTTTATTTATTTCAAAATATCAGAAATTATATGGATTGTGATAAGAGCTCTATAAACTCCCAATAAAATGATTAAAAAAAATGAAGCAAATGTAACACCACGTTTTATTTGTTCTGGATGACAGATACACTTTGGGTTTGGATTGTGTGCTGTAGAGTCAATTCTGACCCATAAGAACCCTACCGGACAGAGTAGAACTGCGCCACAGAGCTTCCAGGTGGTCCTCTTTCAAGAAAAGACGGCCACACCTTTCTCCCTTGGAGTGGCTGGTGGGCTCAAACAGCCAAACTTTGGGTTAGCAGCTAAGCACACAACCACTGCGCCACCAGCACTCCTTTACAGGTACATAGGCTTCTATGATTCTCTCTACTTGCATCTTTCAGGGTTGGGTGGGGGGGGGGCAAACAGCTGCACAGGGTAAGGAAAAACTATTGCTACAAAATCATAGACACCTTTATTACACAGAAATATCCTCCATCTAGGTCTATATACGTCTGAAGACACATTTCCAACTCTCTAACCCTCCCAAGAAGAATTCTGTGTCCTCCATTTACACCCCGTTGAAATTGCTCTTTTGACATTCTTGAGAGTCATGTTTCTTTTAAATGTTATTTGAGTACTGTGAACAAAAAGAAGTCAAAGGGTGGATGGGGTAAGGTTACCCAACAAAATTCTTCTAGGAGAGCCCTTGTGAACCTTGAAGAACGAATAAGTGCATTGTCACGCTGCAGAAAAATAATTCCCTGAGGCAACTTGCCTGGTCTTTTCCTCACCAATGCAATTTTCCATTTTCTGAAAACGTTTTCCTAAAAAGTCCTTGAACTCATTCTGTGTCCTTTAAGAAATCTTTCAAGATTACCTAGTGTTTAGAATTCCAAAAAACATAACCTTCTGAGCTGAGAGCTGACTTTTGACTGTTAATTTAACTGGCCCAGCAGATCCTCTCAGAAGCCACTGTTTTGATTGGATCATACTGGTAAATCCAAGCCACGTCCCCAATTACAATTTGTGGCATGAAATAATTTCCATTAGGTTCAACCTTACTTTAAAAAGACTGATGGCAAGATCAGGGTCTTCAGAAGCGCATAGACCTAAATGGAGAATTTTTTGTGTAATAACAGTTTCTATGATTTTGTAGCAAGAGTTCTTTCCTTTCTCTGGTGCAGCTTTTTTCCTCCTGCAACTCTGAAAGATGCAAATACAGAGACTGTTTTTCAGCTGATCTTTCCAGCAATGCTTTTAAAATTAGTGTCCTTTTTTGGGGAAGCTATCTTTATGAGACTAAGTATATAACTGAAAGAATTTCTCTGTCACCATCCACTTGCACACATAAGTTTAAACACAATTTGTTTGGAACAAACCTGTTCATACATCAATTGGAAACCCAGGAGCAACCACAGTCAAGTAATAAATTACCTTGTTCATGGGGTGGGGGTGAGACAGAATATGCAAAATGGTTTCTGATTTTGATTCAGTAGAGCGAGAAAAAAAATTAGAGAATCTTGTCCTGATCAACAGAACATACAACCTACAGCATGCTGCGCGCGCGCACACGCACACACACACACACAATAGGTACAAACACGAAACTTTCAAAACTATCTGCAAAAAGGCTCATTTACTAGTGCTTTCAACTGACAAAATTTAAGTATTCCTTCATAGCACTGAATGCATGGCTTATTCAAAAGGAGAATCTTTGTGAGACAGCTAGGATTCTGAAGAGCCTAAATACACAACTTTAGGACAGAAAACAATATTTTTAAATGAAGCTCATCTAATCCTGACATTCTTTTTAAGACGATGGGATACCATGATTTTGATGTTTATTTTACACTCTCCTTCTACCCATTTTTTTCTTTAGTTTTTGAAGAAAGAAATTGATGACAATACCTATCAGGCATATTTAAAAACCATATCTGAATGTTAAAAATGAACCTCCACAGCCCAAAACAACCACTTGCTCACTTGGTCCCGCCCTTTAAAATGAAGCATTCACTCTAACTTCTGAGTGTGATATATTCATCGACTTAGTAGCTAACGGAGAGATAAAAATATCCTTTAGTGAAATATTTCTCTACCATTTAAATCAATATTCAAGCTAAGTATCTGACAGTAATTTTCTAATTTAATAGAAGTAAGAAAAGAAACCAAAGGGATGTAATATGAGCCTATGGGTCAAGTTGTCACTGATCTGAAGATTCAAAGCTCAAATACTCAAAAAACTCACTGCCATCCAGTCTATTCCAATTAATAACTACCCTACAGGACAGGGCAGAACGGCCCCTGTGGAATTACTGACCCTGCAATTAACAGCCCAACGAGTAACCCACTACACCACTAAGACTCCGTGGCTTGTAGACAGATGCCAGCAAAAGACTGCAAACAGTATGGTACTGGACACGAAAGGAAACGAAATTATGTTTTCATTTTAAACACGAGTTGAAAAAAATTATCTAAAAATGGCACTTCATATGCATGTTGAACACTCATGGCAGTCTGCTGACTCCTAAGATGGGAGGAAGTAGTATGGAGATAGAGATGAGATATAAAAGGAGATGACAAAGTCAAAGTCAAATTTAAGCTACTTTAAATTTTTCCTATGGCTACTCTGGGACTATGATGGAGGGAGGGAATTTTTCACTCTCCCTCTAACACATAGGCCAGCTTTTTACTCCTAACACTCAACTATCAGGTCAGTAACATAATATTGTTCACATGAGGAAATATATTCCAAATACTAAACAACACAGAGTTAAATGTCAGTTTTACCATTATCTCAAAAACACTGGCAAAAAAAAAAACATGATAATGTATAATGTAGACACATGACTTCTGTGGAACAGAGCAGATTTAATCAGTGAATATAAGATGTTGAAGGAATAAATGAAGCATGATTGCTTAAAAATAATAGTTTCATTTGTATAATAACTCAATTAAGACAATATAAAGAATAGATTTGCGTCTGCTTTTCCTATTCAGAATCCAGTGTTGATAAAAAACAGCAAGAGCATGACTGTTGCCAAGGTGGCTGCACAGAGACTATCACCTTACCAAGCTGGTTCTTCATTCCCATGAGCACGGAGTTCATGTGGGCTTTCGATGCATAGAGCTTGCTCACGGCCTTTCTTGACCTGATCATCTCCTTGGCCAGAACCACACAGACATCCTTCTGGCCCTTCTTGGCAGCATCTTTCACAGATCGTTTTACTTTTTCTTCTTCCCTTTGGATATCTATACTTAGAACACAGGACACAAAAAATCTTAGTAAGCCAGGAGATTTACTGGCATTCACATCTATTCAAATCATAATCTAAATGTCAATACAAAAAAATGTTTAAGCCTCATTCCATATTGCTAAGTCGATTCTGACTCAGCAATTCTGTTGGGCAGAGTAGAACTGTCCCACGGGTTTCCAAAGCTGTAATCTTGACTGCCCATCTTCCTCCCTCCGATCAGTTGGTGGGTTTGAATGCTGACCTTTCTGTTAGAAGCTGAATGCTGAATTACTGTGTCGGCAGGACTCCTTATAGAAGCACATGTATATAGGAAGATATAATTTTTTAATGTGGTAGGTATTCATTAACCCCAGAAACAAGTATAATCAGATTAAACTTGGCAAAATTTTGAAATTAATTTTTCTGTCCCTTTCTAACAATTGTTAGTACAGGTATTCAAAATTAAAATTTTGAATTTTACTTCCCTCCCCCAGGACTCTGGCAACCACTAAGCTAATATGGAACTGCCTATATTAGATATTTCATATAAATGGAATCATATAATATTTGGCTTCTTTAACTAATGTTTACAAAATTCACCTGTTGTAATATGTACCAGAACTTCGTTTCTTTTTATTACCAAACAGTAATTTACATTGTTAAATTATAAGACTTTCTTTTGTTTCCCCATTCATAAAATTACTGTACACACAAAAAAATTACTATAAGCACATTTCAGAGCCATTTAATAATAATAATAAAGTATTTCTGCAACTATGGGAACACAATGTCTATACAGTCATTAATTAAAATGTCTATATGATATGCTTCTTAATGGGTGGGTTATGAGTAGATGCATACACACTGAGGACTCAATTGAAATCCTTGTCATGCCCATAGTCCTACAGGGAATTGCCCGTGGTAATACTAGAGATTTGAGGATACAACCCATCTCTCCCACCACTCAACATGTGACATCCCAACACACAATTTTAATAGCCAGACAGATTCATTATTTCATTTTAAACAAGTAGAGGTATCTTAAAAAAAATTGGACCGCATAGTAACAATACCTGGAATTGTAAAGATTTCTCTTTAGCTTTATTTAATTAATACAATTCATCAGAGGATAGAAAACAACTAGCTTTCAGAAGAGATTTTCTTTTTTAAATTGAAACATGATTCATGTACCATAAAAATCCATTCAAGCATTTGATATGATCCAATGGGTTTGGGTATATATTTACAACAGTCCCACTATTTCATTCTAGAACATTTTCATCACTATTTTCCCTATACCTGTTAGCAATCATGTCCCTTCTCATCTCCTCCCCTCCCCCAGGACTCTGGCAACCACTAAGCTAATACAGAACTGCCTATTTTAGACATTTCATATAAATGGAATCATATATTATTTGGCTTCTTTAACTAATGTTTACAAAATTCACCTGTTGTAATATGTACCAGAACTTCATTCCTTTTTATTACCAAACAGTAATTTACATTGTTAAATTATAAGACTCTCTTCTGTTTCCCCATTCATCAGTTGAGCACTTTGTTTCTACTTTTCAGTTTTATAAATAATGTTGCTATGAATATCCATGTAAAGTTGTTATGTGGAGATGTTTTCCCATCTCTTGGATATCTACCCAGGGGCTCTCACTTTTTGAGGAACTGTCAAAAACTGTTTTTCAAAGTTGCTGCACCATTTTAGTCTCAACAGTGTGTAAGGATTCCAATTTCTCTACATTCTCACTGATACTACTGTTACTGAAAATTGAATTAATTTTTAAAAATAGGTTTCATTAATAGTCTTTTATCAATATCTTTATAAATCAAAAATTTTGCCTTTAGGGCTTAAAAACATTACAAGTAAATGTATAACTATATGTTAATATATGTATTATAAAAATATGCAGATCATCAAAATTGACTCGGGTGATACAGAAGAGTACAATAATGTTGGCATTTTGTCAGCCATGGTAATAACTCCATTTGTGGAACGTTCTGGATCATCTGTATTTCCTGGAAATTGTGAGGATGTTTCCGTTCAGAAAATTAAGACTTGTCTGTATCATCTTTTCCTTCATATATTTTGTGGTAACACTGCACTGCTTCCCAAACCTGCCTATTGATTTTAGTAAAACAATCAACATTGAGGTTCATGTTTTTAGGAACTGAAGTCCTTGGTTTAACTGGGAAATTTTACTGTAATTTTTTTTTACAATTTCTGTTTTCTTTCTCATTATTTCTTTCCTCTTCACCATTTCTTTCTTCTTCAAAATCTATTAGGTCTTGACCTGTCAATTCCCCTTCTTCATGATCGATGAGCAGTTCCACATTGGCGGCGACAGCAAGTTCTGACTACAGCGTTCTTGCCATTTGGACAGTTTTCCATCATATTAACCTAACAAATGCTGGAAACATAATCACATAGCTCAGCAATTTTTTTTTCATATCTCCATGCATTTTCCCATAACTTCTTCTCAAGAAGATGTAATTTTCTGGTTATAGTAAATAATATTAATTTTTCCATAAATAGCATAATGTTACTATACCTCCATCTGTTGCTATTATTGCCTAAGCAAACATAATATATAAGTAGTGTTCCTTAGAGGTAGCAACTGCATATCAATCTGAGGAGTGATCACTGTTGTCTTGGGAAGCAGATACACCACTCTCCTATCTACATTTAGAACATCTACTTGAGGAAAAGATGTCCTAAGGCATTGTCAAACACCTGCAGAATTTTGAAAGTTTCTATTTTTGAAGGCCGTACGCATACTTCTGGGATGAAAACATTAAAAAGACAGGCTTCTAATAACACAATCATTATCCAAGCCTTGAGTTACTCCTGCACTAGCCCAGCAGCTTATTCTTGTCAATGTATTTGAAGGCCCAGGGATTTTGATCAGTAAATAAGACAAAGTTTTCATTTAAATCTGGCAGAATTCTTTCAAGTGATTGTCTTTTAATGCCTTGAAACCAATACGGCTAGACCAGAGCATGTACACGGGTACAGATAAGAGCTGGAAACAGGGAATTCAGGACAGATAAATCCTTCAGGACCAATGATGAGAGTAGCAATACCAGGAGGGGAAGGGGAAGGTGAGGAAAGGGGAACCTCCCAGGGGCATGGACAACAGAAAAGTGGGTGAAGAGAGATATCGGTCAGTGTAAGACATGAAAAAAAATTTTATAAATTATCAAGGGTTCATGAGGGAGGGTGGGGAAGGGAGGGAAAAAACAAGAAGCTGATACCAAGGGCTCAAGTAGAAAGAAAATTTTTTGAAAATGATGATGGCAACAGATGTACAAATGTGCTTGACACAATGGATGGATGTATGGATTGTGATAAGAGCTATATGAGCCCCCAATAAAATAAATTAAAAAATAAAATAACAGTCTTGAAACCGTGCATTGATGCTACAACTGTGTTAAAGTAGATCTATTCTGGCATCCTTTCTCAAAGGAAGCTTGTTTCATCCAATGCTGAGATTTTTACCATTAATATTATTGTAGCCCACTTTACTTAATGCAGTCTCAGTGAAATTTGTATAACTCCCTACATTGCTTAGAGGCAAATAGGTTGTACTGTATATAGATGGCACTGTTGTTGTTAGCTCCTTTAAGTCAGTTTTGATTCATAATTACCCTATGCCCAACAGAAGGGAACACTCCCCAGTTCTGCACAGTAGTTACTATATTTGAGCCACTGTGTCAAGGGCTTTCCTCGTTTTCACTGCCCCTCCACTTTACCACGCACAATGACCTTCTCCAAGGACTGTCCTGTCCTGGTAATGTCCACAAGGGTACAGAGTTTGCCATCCTTGCCTCTAAGAAGCATTCTGGCTGGCTGTACTTCTTCCAGAACTTTGTATTCAGTTAAAGCAGTGGTTCTCAACCATCCTAATGCTGTGACCCTTTAATACAGTTCCTCATGTGGGGGGTGACCCCCAACCATAAAATTATTTTTGTTGCTATTTCATAACTGTAATTTTGCTACTGTTATGAATCAGGCAACCCCTGTGAAAGGGTCGCTTGACACCGCCCCCCCCCCACAAAGGGGTCTCAACCCACAGGTTGAGAACCGCTGAGTTAAAGGCTCAAAAAATCTCTGTTGTTATCTAGCGTTCTTTACCCGGGTAGTTCTCACCTCTTTGAATACTCTATGCTACAAATTCTATCCAATTCAGTCTCTGATCTCACACCTCTGTTCTTCAATTTAGCAATACTATCACACTGCCTGGGATCGCCACTCCTTGCACTACAATCCAGAAAGTATCTCTAGGCAGAGAGTCAGGATCATATGTTTGCCTCTTCTCAGTGATCAGTCCTGTTGTTTCATAGATTTTGTCCAGTTTTCTATAATGTGAGCTGAAGCAGAAACCAATAACTGCATCAGGGCCAGGAATAGTTTCCTCTCCAATTCTTCTTTAAGGGATGATTTTGCATTTTCTTGTACTAATTTTTTATCCAATCATAAATGTGTTAAAAATGATGAATATTCCTTTTGCAAGTCACCTCAATTTTAAGTGGTACTCAATAGATCAATTTTACATAGAAATAAATGTCTCTCCATTTTCAGCTATGATACTACTATAGTAGAAATAATAGATTTTTTTCCTATTTACACATAATTTCTTTAATTTAAATTCCCCCCCAAAAAAGAGACATTTCTTTGTAAGCAATAGGGGTTCTTTTGTTCTCTGAATTCATGCTCTCTTTTGGTTTCCATATGGTGATTATAGAATTTTTTAAAAACCAATGTAATTAGAATAGCTATAGATAAGAATAAAACTATTAGCAGGCCATTCTTCTACAGTCCCACTGGGTGAGTTTGAACTGCCAACTTTCAGGTTAGTAGTTGAGTACTACTAGTCGCATCATCAGGAACCTTTTAAGAATAAGCTTAAGTAATCATACACACACAATATGTAAATGTTAAATATATCTTGAAATCTAGAGATACAGTTTATTTTTATAAACTAAAGCAAATTCTACCACCAAGAAGGTAGGGAAGAAGAGACATAAAGTGATAATTTACCTCTTATTTGTCTGTCAACTACTCTCATTTCCTTTCTTATCTTCAATGACCATTCATTGACCTGGGGAAAAATTAAAAATAAATAAGGGATGCCAACACTCTTAATTTAACTAATTTTAAAGACATACATTATTTTCACATCCATACCAGAAACAATCCAGGTATAACATAAATACAGAGCGTTAGGGTCACTGTCTTCTTTGCTTGTTTGTTTTCTCCTCCTTGTTTGGGCTTTTTATTTACAGTGCATAGACGCTTCAACCTTTCTGCCATGGAACTCCTAGAACTTCCAACTCATAGAAGCCTCAAGCTATCCAAAGATTCTTACCTAAGGGCAGGGGTTGAGAAGCACTTTACTCAAGGCTTTACAAGTATTGTTTCTTGAAAGTACACATAAATTTTTCTTTTTCCTTTTTTTTTTTCACATAAATTTTTCAAGAGATGCATAGAGACAAATAATTTCAAGGCATTAGTTCTTAAATCTTCATCTTTCTATACATAATCATTTAAAAACGACTGCCTGAGAGGTACATGAGAGTCCAACATAAAGAAGAGGAAGGGGGCAGGAGGAGGGAGAAGCGGGTGGGGAGAAACTGAGTTGATGGCACAGGGAGTACAGGGCACTAATCCACTCAGGGGGAGAGGATTGGTTGTGTCCCCACAGAACTGGAATGTGCATACAGACCCCACAATGACGCGCCAAACCAGGAGGGCAACATAATGAGCGGAGGAATACACAAAAAGACTGGACCACAAGCCCGGCCCCAAGCAGAATCAGCCAGACCCCCACCATGGAAGAGTGTGCCACAGAAAATGAAAATAGACCATCTGGTGAGGGAAAGGAACTGACCTACCATGCCCAGAAGGAAGCTGAAGCAAATGAAGGGGGAGGAAGGGAGTGGTGCACACCAGGGCCCACCAATCTCAGAGGACAATAGCCCGGCTCAGAGCAGCCAATGTACAGAGAGGACCATATGGCTGGCCCCATTGCGAGATGCAACACCCTGCACTGACCCATTGCCCTACATGGGACAGCACTGGAGACATAGTGTGGGATGTGTGGCCGAGCTGACCCCACCACACTGAGGCAAAACACTGGGGGTGTGCAATAGAGCGGTGGAGAAAGCAGAGCAAGGAGGCCTCAAGGGAGTATCAAGGATGGACTTTGGGGCCAGGGCGTGGCACCCTATCAGATTCCTCTGGAAAACACTCCTAAAGGTCAACAAGCAAGACTGTTAACAGGCTTTCCTTTCTTTTTTTAAAGTTTTTTCTCTCTTGTTTAGATTTTATGTCAGTGGCTTTTTTGTTTGTTTGTTTGTCGGTGTTGTTGCCGTAGTCACCGTGTTCTCATGTGCCACTATGTTTGGTGCTGTGGAGGCCATCTGCAATTTTATGTGCATATTATTATCTCTGCAGGTCTATCTAGAAAAGATAGGCTGGATAAACAATATGGAGAAGAATACAAAGGGATCAAAGGTGGGGCGGGGGAGGACATGGGAAAGTGGAATGTGGGGGAAGGGAGGAGGTATTGGCCAACCCAGGGACAAAGGAACAACCAGTGGTTCAAAACCAGTGGCAGGGAGGGGATGGGAGGACTGGCAGGGAGTGACCAAGGGAAATGTAACTGAGAGGAATTACTGAACCAGAATGAAGGCTCATGGTAGTGGGACAAGAGGAAAGCATAGGAAATAGTGGAAAGGAGTAGGAGGCCAAGTGACCAAGGGAAATGTAACTGAGAGGAATTATTGAAACCAGAATGAAGGCTCATGGTAGTGGGACAAGCGGAAATCATAGGAAATAGTGGAAAGGAGTAGGAGGCACAGAGGCCTAAATATAGACATGCACATATGTAAATATATTTGTGATTATGGGGGAAATATTATCTACGTGCATATATTTATAGGTTTAGTAGTAGGGTAGCAGGTGGACATTGGGCCTCCTCATGCGCATTCCCTTAATACAAGAGCACTTTCCTCAGCTAAGCAGTCATTCCATGACACCCACCTTCCTGACACAATCGCTGAAGACAAACGTGTGCATAAGTAAACGTGGTGAAGAAAGCTGATGATGGTGCCTGGCTACCAAAAGATAATGTGTCTGGAGTCTTAAAGGCTTGAAGGTAAACAAGCAGCCATCTAGCTCGGAAGCACACAAGCCTGTGTGATCCCGAGGTGTTGAAGGGATCAGGTAGCAGACACCTAAGAACAAAGACCATCATTGTGTGCTCACCTTCCCATATAAACGCTGAAGACGAATGTGTGCATAAGTAAGTGTGGTGAAGATGGCTGATGGTGTCCGGCTACTGAGAGATACAGTGTCTAGGGTCTTAAAGGCTTGAAGGTGAACAAGCAGCCATCTAGCCCAGAAGCAACAAAGCCCACATGGAAGAAGTACACCAGCACGTGTGATCACGAAGGGTCGAGGGGACCAGGTATCAAGCACTCATCGTGAATGAGGGGAGCGCACCATGGGGACCTAATGCCCATCTGTAGACAACTGGACATTCCTTGCAGAGGGGTAGTGGGAAGATGAGTCACTCAGGGTGCAGTATAGCACTGTTGAAACTCACAACCTTCTTCTAGTTTTTAAATGCTTCCCCACCACCACCATCACCACTATCAATGATCCCAACTCTACCTTGCAAACCTGGTTAGACCAGAAGATGCACCGTGGTGCAGATGGGAACTGGAAACACAGGGAATCCAGGACAGAAAAAACCCTCAGGGCCAGTGGTGAGAGTGGCGATAATGGGAGGGAAAAGGGAAGGGGGTGTAGGAAGGGGGAATCGATTACAAGGATCTACAACATATAACCTCCTCCCTAGGGGATGGGCAACAGAAAAGTGGGTGAAGGGAGACACTGGGCAGTGTAAGATATGATAAAATAATAATTTATAAATTCTAAAAGGTTCATGACGGAGGGGGGATGAAAAATGAGGAGCTGATTCCAGGAGCCCAAGCAGAAAGCGAGAGTTTTGAGAACGATGAGGGCAATGAATGTATAAGTGTGCTTTACACAATTGATGTATGTGTGGATTGTGATAAGAATTGTATGAGCACCAATAAAATAAATTTTTTTAAATGACTGAGAAATCAGCCTATCATGAGATTTCAACTTTTCTTACCTATCATAAGAATACTCTTTTCAGTGGTTTTCAACCTGTGGTGTTGTGACCCCCTTTGGGGTTCAAGCGACCCTTTCACAGGGTCACCGATTCCTAACAGCAGCAAACTTACAGTTATGAAGCAGCAACAGAAATAATTTTATGGTTGGGGGTCACCAGAACATGAGGAACTTTATTAAAGGGTCATGGCATTAGGAAGGTTGAGAATCACTGCCTAATTCATGTCTTTTATTACCATCATGTATCTCCCTTGGAGGCAAAATACTCTGAAATATAAAACAGTCCAATCGACTGGAAGTACTAGTTTACTGAGAAAGAAGTGAATGTTCTACTGATTATCAAGTTTTTAAGCAGAAAAGGTGTTTTCCAATCCTTTGGACACATAAGCTGACTCACTCTCACTGCCATCAAGTCCACCCTGACTCAGAATGGCTGTGTCTGAGACTGTAACTGTTTACTGGAGTAGAAAGCCCAGTCTTTCTCTTGAGGAACTGCTAGTGGTTTCAAACTGCAGACCATGGGGATCACAGCCCAACATGTAACCACTACACCATTGGGGCTCCCAAACATGCAGACAGGTGATGAACTATTCAAAGTAATTTTCATACTAAATCACTATGTACTTTTGTACATATGACTCAGAAGAAATTCAAAGAACTTAGCAATAATGCCACTAAACTCTCCTTGTATTATCATCTACTAATTGCTATGAGTCATAATCAACTAGATGGCAGTGAGTTTTTTTTAATATTAGATCAAAGTTTCTCAGCCTTGGAAACTTAATAAAACTGAAAATAGGAATAGAATTGATTCTGAACTCTGTGGAACTTAGTCATGCAGCACACATCCACAGATATGTTAATTAAATGGAATTGTTCCTACCATAAAATTTATTTTCAATAAATTTTAATTTTTGTGATTAGACTAATATGATTGGACTAATGAATTGTATATGTGGATTATATGTCAATGTAACTGTCAAGTTAAAAAATTGTTTAATACTTATATTAAAATCTGTAAAATATTTACTATGTGCTAATAATAATTATAAAACTCCACCAGGAATATATTTTTAAACACTTAAAACTATAGGGTCTTAAGAGTTTAAAAAATTTAATGTTAGCTTTTTATTAATGTGAGCTTTATGCACATATTTTTACTCAAAATATAATAGGATGATTAATAAATTATCTTCAGCATAACATTGCTATGTTAGGTAAAATTCATGTAATGAAAATAGGATGGGAATAAAGTTAAAAGGAATTACTATAAAACGTCTGACTTGTACAAGTATGCTTGATATGGCTAATGATATGCATTGGACTAGTATGGTATTTAGTCTATTGGATATGTTTGAATTAAGTAACAATTTCATTTACAAATACCAAAATTGATACTATGCCAAAAATTATATCATCTTCAATTTTATTGACAGCTACCATTACACATACACACACACACACACACACACACACACACACACACACACCCTTCTGTCAGACTGTCAAAACTGGTGACCTGGGTGTTACTGTAATGCTGGAAGCTATGCTTCTAGTCTTAGAAATACCAGTAGGATTACCCACAGTAAATAGGTTTCAGTGACCAAGAACAGACTGGGAAGAAGGAATAGGCTGTCCACTTCTGAGCGAATGGCCACTGAAATTGTATGAATAACAGAGAAATAGTAGCAAGCATAGTGCCAGCAAATGAATCCTTCAGATTGAAAGGCACACAAGTAAAACTGACGAAGAGTAGAGTCGACCATAAAAGCATTCTGAACCTTCATCTGCTGATGGCATAACCCAGAATGGTAAGAAACAGCTGTAAATATGCTGTTTCTGGACATAGAATGTATGCTGTGTAAATCTAGGAAAATTGTAAGTTATAAAAAAATGAAATGGAAGACACAGAGACAAAACATGTTAAGCAATGATGAGCTGAAATGGGCTGGTCATGGAGGCTTGGGGGTAGGGGGCTACACATTGAGCATAAGCTCCGCAGTTCAAACCCACCAGAAAAAAGATGAGTAGAAAGATGAGGCTGTTCACTGTTGTTAAGATTTATAAGTCTTAGAAATCCAGAGGACAATTCTTTCTTGCCCTAAAAGGTCACTATGAGTTGGAACCAACTCAATGCCAGCGTTTGCTTTTTG